CGCGACTAAGATCTCTTCAGCAAAAATGTCAATATGAGTTACAGATTTCTTGAGTTATATTAGATTAATTCTGACTATTTTGAGGAAGTGTATACTGTCTACGTCGTCTTAAAATGGACAAACAGTACTATTGGCGCTTTTTTCTTGTTTTTCAAGCAAAGGTCTTTTAAGTGAGTATGCGAGCACACTCATTCGTGCCGAGTTCGGCTAGGCGCTATCCCAACTGAAGCATGCCGACACTTGCGGGGTGAGTTTGGGTGAGAGACTGCAGGGAAGCAGTATTCCATCATGGGGGGTTTCATTTCAAAGATACATAAACATCAAGATTCCAGCCACACTGTTCCCAGTCATGACTGAGAAGCTAGAACCTGCGTTCCACCCTGTAGTTGTATCTTGTTTTGGACTAGTGTACAGGAGAAGTGGTGACAAGTACCGTAAGGGAAAGTTGAAAAGAACTTTGAAGAGAGAGTTCAAGAGGGCGTGAAACCGTTGAGAGGTAAACGTGGCAGGTAGCTTAGTGGTTAAGAGCGTTGTGCCAGTAACCGAAAGGTTGCTGGTTCTAATTCCCGAGCTGACTAGCTGAAAAATCTGTCAAAGTGCCCTTGAGCAAGGCACTTAACCCTAATTGGTCCTCTGTGACTTAATTGGTAGAGCATGGCACTTGTAACGCCAGGGTAGTGGGTTCGATCCCCGGGACCACCCATACGTAAAAATGTATGCTGTAAGTCGCTTTGGATAAAAGCGTCTGCTAAATGGCCTATCATTATTATTATTATAATTGCTCCTGTAAGTCGCTCTGGATAAGAGCGTCTGCTAAATGACCAAAAAAAAAAAGACAATGGTCAGTCACCATCCCTGGTCCTGGAGAGCTACGTTACCACTGACAGACAGTCTTCTCTCCCTCAAAGTGCCAGAGTGTCTCTTCTTATCTCTCACTGTGTGTCCTGTCCCACATGTCCCACATGTGTCACTCAAATCCCTAAAATAACTACATCTGTCAGTACAAGTTATCTCTCTAGCTCTCTTTGTGTTTGAGAGCCGATGGTGTAAGCTGGTGAAATGTAAGAGTGTGAGTTGAGCACTGAAGTTGACCTTAAACTCAGCCCATGATAATAGGCTATTAACATGGTATGAGCATCGTAACAAGGTTATAGTTACCTGCACCAAGGTGTGACCTCTCTATAATGACTTTAAGAACCACAGTAATACTGATGTCATTACGGCTGATAACCGTGTTAATAGCAGGTTGTGTTTGGTTAGTTCACAGTAACTGTCACGTCTCCTCCCGTTGCTCACCTCCGGCGCTCTGATTGGCCGTTTTACTGAGACTGAGCCAACCGTCTGAGCGTCAGAGGGGCCGCGTTCGAATACGCCTGAGCTTTTCTCAAGGTGGTGGTTCTCCGTCTGGAATTGCAGGCTCTGCGCCCGGCCTTCAGAGAGGCTTCCGGGAGACATCAGGACGGAACTCACCATGTCGGGACAACGAGATGGACCTTGATAACCCTCATCTCCACGACCATTCCGTCTTGACAGCATGTTTGAGAGAACCACAGCATTCCCAAACACCCCCCGGAGCCTCGACGCTCACCCCATCTGAGCTTTGGAAGCTGCCTCCGAGTCCTCACCCATGGAGGTGGGCAGCGCCCCCCACACCACCACAGACCACAGATCTCCTGGCGGCTCTCTATCTAGGCGGTATGACTCCAGTCTCCGCTCCGTGAGTGTTCCATCATCACCTGTCACCAAACCATTGTTTTTAGTTCCCCTAACGGTGAATGGTTCTTCCTTCTCTTCGCTTTCCATGGCAATGATCGATTCCGGATCAGCGGGGAACCTGATAGATAGGGAGCTGGTCTCTGAATGGGGGTTGCCCAACGTGCCACTGACTTCTCCGCTACACATCCCCTCGCTGGACAATAAACCACTTGGATCAGGCACCATTATGCACGTCACTCTCCCCATCACCATCACCATTCCCACACTCCCGGAGCACCACGAGGAGCCGTCCTTCCACATCGTAACGTCACCCCTTCACCGTATCGTCTTGGGATTGCCCTGGCTCAGACTACACAACCCCACCATCAATTAGATCACCAAGAGGATCACACCCTGGTCCCCCTCATGCCGGAGGACTTGCCTAACGGTGGTTTGTTGTTCCACGTCAGTGGAGAGTCCGGAGTCCGCCCTCCAGCCCAACATTCCACGTGAGTATGCAGATCTCTCTGATATCTTCTGCCTCCAAAGCTAAGTGTCTCCCTCCTCACAGGCCCTGGGACTGCGCCATTGACCTGCTGGAGGGACAACACCCCCCGAAGAGTCGTATTTACTCCCTCTCTATAGCGGAGACTGAGGCCATGGAGAAGTATGTGGCGGAGACCCTGAAACAGGGTTTCATCAGACGCTCTACCTCTCCTGCCTCCGCCAGCTTCTTCTTCGTGGCCAAAAAAGACGGAGGACTGAGGCAGTGCATTGACTACCGGGGGCTGAACGCAGTCACCACCAAGTACAGGTACCCCCTCCCTCTGGTTCCGTCGGCCATCGAGCAAGTTGCCTACAACCTGATCTGAATCCAGGAAGGAGATGAGTGGAAGACGGCATTCAGCACTACCTCAGGGCACTATGAATACTGCGTCATGCCCTACGGCCTCGCCAACGCACCTTCTGTGTTCCAGTCCTTCGTCAATGACGTGTTCCGAGACATGCTGAGTAGACAGGTGGTGGTGTACATCGACAATATCCTGATCTACTCGGCTACGTTCGAGGAGCACGTCAAGGACGTCAGTGCGATCCTACTCCGCCTCCGGGAACACATCCTGTTGGTGAAGGGGGAGAAATGTGAATTCCACCAACAGGCCATCTCCTTCCTGGGATAGAGGATCAGTCTTCAGAGGTTGTTCATGGAAAGAGCGAAGACGGACGCCGTCAGGTCATGGCCAGTCTCCATTTCTCAGAAGCTGGCCTGGAACCATGAGGCTGACGCTGCCTTCAATAGGCTGAAGGAGATGTTCACCACAGCGCCCCTCCTAAAACACCCAGATCCAGTTCGTCCTTTCATCATGGAGGTGGACGCATCTGAGGAGGGCGTGAGTGGGGTCCTCTCCCAGAGGCAAGGTAAGCCAGAGAAAATGTATCCCTGTGCCTTTTTCTCGAAAAAGCTTACCCCCTTAGAGAGGAACTATGGAGTTGGAGACAGGGAGATTTTAGCAGTGGTCCTCGCTTTGGAGGAATGGAGACACTGGCTGGAGGGCGCAGTCCATCCATTCCGGATTCTCACTGACCACCGGAATTTGGAGCATATACGGGCAGCGAAACGGATTAACTCTCATCAAGCCAGGTAGGCCCAATTTCTTCCTCGCTTTAAGTTTATTCTGTCCTACCGCCCAGGATCCCAGAATGTGAAAGCCAACGCAGTCTCCAGGATGCACCATACCGGAGAAAGGAAGGATCTGGGGGGTCCTATCCTGCCTCCGTCTCTCATCGTGGCACCTGTCGTTTGGGATGTGAATGAAGACATCCGCCTGGCTACTCAGGAGGACCCAGCGCTTGCCAACGCCCCTCCGGGGCGCGTGTATGTACCCACCAGTGGCCGTGACTGCCTGCTGATATGGGCACACACCACCCTTACAGCAGGGCACTTCGGTATGACGCGCACCCTACATTTTCTCTCACAAAAATACTGGGGGCCCACCTTGGCTACTGATGTCTCCCACTATATTAACTCCTGTTCCATATGTGCCCAAACGAAGACACCTCATAATGCCCCGGCAGGCAAACTAGTTCCTCTCACAGTGCCTCAGCGACCTTGGTCACACCAGTCCATAGACTTTGTCACTGACCTCCCACGTTCTGATGGCTTCACCACAGTCCTGGTGGTAGTAGATCTCTCCAAATCATACCGTTTTTAGCCACTAACTGGTCTTCCTTCTGCTTTACAGGTCGCTGAGATCCTGTTCCAACAGGTCTTCCGGAATTATGGACTTCCGGAGGACATCGTCTCGGACCATGGCCCCCAATTCACCTCCCGAGTGTGGAAGGCTTTCCTGGAGAAGATTGGGGCCACGGCCAGCCTCACTTCCGGGTATAGGCCTCAGTCGAATGGGCAGGTGGAGCGCATGAACCAGGAGCTGGGGAGGTTTCTTCGTTGCCACTGTCAGGACCGGCAGGGTGAGTGGGCAAGGTTTCTTCCCTGGACAGAATATGCCCAGAACTCCCTCGTTCACTCCTCCATGGGGCTCACTCCCTTCCAGTGCATCCTGGGGTACCAGCCGGCCCTGGCCCCTTGGACACCCAGCCAGACCGATGTGCCTGCTGTCGACGAGTGGTTCCGCAGGGCCGGACAGGCCTTGGACCTCACCCATGTCCATCTCCAGAAGGACATTTGTCGGCAGACGGACCAAGCCGACCGCCACCGCAGTGAGGCCCCCGTATTCCAGCCTGGTGATCGTGTCTGGCTGTCCACTAAAAACCTCCCTCTCCGCCTTCCCCGGTTTGTATGGCCGTGTGGGGGGGGGGGGGGGGGGGGGGGGTGTACTGTCACATCTCCTCCCGTTACTCACCTCCGGTGCTCTGATTGGCCAGTCTACTGAGCCACCGGTCTGAGCGCACCACCTTGGCAACACCGGAATGGAAACCCAACGCACCCTAATCACCTCCAGCGCACCTGCACCTTATCATCTCATCACCATCCCTATATAACCCTGGACTGTTCAGTGTTGTGTTGTGTGTGATTGTTAGTGTATTGTCCTTTGTTGTTCTCTTGTTCAGTGTTAAGTAAACCTTTACATTGTTGATTCCTGCAACTGCGTCCTGCCTCTGCGTATCCTCAGTACTCGTCACAGTAATGGTATGTTACTGTCGGTCAGTTGTAAATTAGAGAGCTATACCTAACCCCCGCAATCAGGACAGCTCAGTGTGTGTGTGTCAGGGGCTTTTCATGTCCACCCCCACCACCTCAGATGGTCAGGTTCTGAACTCTATCTGGGGTTGTTTGTGATGGAAGGAAGGAAGGAAGGAAGGAAGGAAGGAAGGAAGGAAGGAAGGAAGGAAGGAAGGAAGGAAGGAAGGAAGGAAGGAAGGAAGGAAGGAAGGAAGGAAGGAAGGAAGGAAGGAAGGAAGGAAGGAAGGAAGGAGAGAGGGAGGGAAAAAAGGAAGGAAGGAAGGAGAGCGTGATGGAGGGGCATGAGTGCAGTGACTGTTTACAATCAACAGGCCTTATTATTGGTAGTATTCTGCCGGAGTTGTGTTTTAGCGGAGTGTGTGTTTGGAGTATTCAGGAAGTGTGTTTTAGCAGTGTTTGTGTTTGGAGTATTCAGGAGTTGTGTTTTAGTGGTGTGTGTGTTTGGAGCATTCAGGAGTTGTGTTTTAGCGGTGTCTGTGTATGGAGTTTTCAGGAGTTGTGTTTTGGTGTGTGTGTTTGGAGTATTCAGGAGTTGTGCTTTAGTGGTGTATGTGTTTGGATTATTCAGGAAGTGTGTTTAGCGGTGTGTGTTTGCGGTATTCAGGAGTTGTGTTTTAGTGGTGTGTGTATTTGGAGTATTCAGGAGTTGTGTTTTAGTGGTGTGTGTTTGCGGAATTCAGGAGTTGTGTTTTATTGGTGTGTGTGTTTGGAGTATTCAGGAGTTGTCTTTTAGCGGTGTGTGTTTGCAGTATTGAGGAGTTGTGTTTTAGTGGTGTGTGTGTTTGGAGTATTCAGGAGTTGTCTTTTAGTGGTGTGTGTGTTTGGAGTATTAGGAGTTGTGTTTTAGTGGTGTGTGTGTTTGGAGTATTCAAGAGTTGTGTTTTAGTGGTGTTTGTGTTTGGAGTATTTAGGAGTTGTGTTTTAGTGGTTTGTGTGTTTGCGGTATTGAGGAGTTGTGTTTTAGTGGTGTGTGTGCTTGGAGTATTGTGAGGTGTAAACTAGGTTGGCACTATGAACTCTGTTCCCTTCCTCTCTCTGTGGGCATTTGTGCAAGTGTGAGTGTGTGGGTGAATGAGAGAGAGAAAGTGTGTGTGTGTGTGCAGGGTAGGGTAGGGGGCAGGGTATAGTAGAGGGCAGAGCAGACCCCAGGTCTCAGACAGCTCTCTGTGTTTCCTCTATAAGGTCTGATTCAGCTTGGTTAGAAAAAACACAGTACAGGAATTTTACTAGATAGCTCCAGTTGGTGGCTGAATTTTTAGCTGAAACTGCTTTGCACAAACTCTGCTTGACAGATCAGAATGTTACAGTGCTCTGAAAACATTACTGTCTGTACCATACCTGTGAGCCAGAAGATGGGCTTTTAGCCAGATTGTTGTTGAAAAACTAAGTCTATATAGCATATTGAAAGCAGAAAGTCAGGTACCCAAGCTAACATTCAACTACAACACATAGAAACATCATTCTGGCACTATGGGGATACTATACCAGCCCAATGCCGTCAGTACAGAATCTCTGTTTTCAGAGTCCTGGTGGAGATGGATAGAGCTCTCAGGGCCAGAGAGAGAGACAGAGAGTGTGTGTGTGTGTGTGTGTCTGTCTGTGTGTGTGTGTGTGTGTGTGTGTGTGTGTGTGTGTGTGTGTGTGTGTGTGTCTGTGTGTGTGCGCGTGCGTGTGACAGGGAGTCGGACAGTAAATCAAGAATAAATCAGTAAATCAGACAGTAAATCACAACTGACTTTAAATTAACATTTATATCTTTAATCAGAAGTAACTTCACAAACAATTATTATTTATTATTTACGCTTTCAGGAATTCCAGTGGCTTGACCCATGCTAATCCTTGTCAAAAATCCAATAGACAAATATCCCACACACTCCAAATAATAACAGAACACCAAAAGTAGTGTAACTGTTGACTTTTCTCTCTATCTCAATGATCTCATTTATATTCCTCATGTCTGTGCAATCACTTCAGAGTTGTCTTGGGCCAGAAACCATGTGAGTCTGGTCTGTAGACCTCTCACTCTCCTCAACATTAAACAGCTCTTATGGACAGACTGGGTTTGAACAATGGTCTCCTGTGGACCACAAGACTGTGTTAGCTTATACAAGTCTTCAGGTCTCAGACAAGGTGACTAATTACATGAGTTTGGTTCACCGAACCACAAGGAGCCATCTAAAACTCTTAGGGAATATGCCTAGTCCTGGACTACAAATCACTTTCAATGGAGATTCTTAATCTGTGTCCGGGAAACCGGCCCTTGGAGTTTTCTTGTAACCCGTTAAATAAATCCAGACAATCCTAATGATTATTCCGGTACACATAATTACCTCTGCTGTTCAGACAGTTGGTGACCTTTCACAAGACAGTAAATGACAGTTAGTGAATGTCTGGACAAAGGTCAGAGACTGCGACTTGGCCATTAAACACTAATGGTGTGAATGGGAGTCAATGGACGTGTGTGTTATGGTAATAGTCACTTCAAAGGTCCATGAACTTTAACAGAACCAGTGTCTCTATCCACTAAGTCCTCAGCTCCTCTCACATCCATTTCTCCCAGGACACTGCCCTTCTTATCTGACTGACAGGTCAGAGGTCAGGGGTCATATCTAATACTACTACACTGGACCAATGAGAGAGCATGTTGTCTTAGTGATAACCCAGCTAGGTTTTACAGGTCTTCTGTGAGAGACTATAAGGACTATAAGGAGATCTTATAGATGGTAGTAAATCCCATCTTTCTCTTTCAGACCATCGTAAATATGATTTGTCAAGACTAATTATATTAACAAGACACAGAGGCACAGCATGAACAATATATCAACATTTGGGTGCACTTTTAAAGAATGTTTGTGATACTACACTATATTTGTATTCAGAAACATATTTTGCACTGCTCTCTCTCCTCTCTGTCTCTCTGTCACTCAGCTGTCTCTCTCTCTCATTTCCTCTCCCTCTCTTTGGGAAAACACATTACTGAACAATGAAAATCATTTATATGACATATTTGTGGCTTGATTCATTAACAGTCTGTTGTTGAGTGTAGTGTTAGGACAGACTAAGAGAACCATGCAGTCTGGTGTCACGTGAAATAGCATCACAACTCTCTATAGATCACCACCATTATAAACTACTAACAATCACACTCATCTGGTTGCAATGAGATGGATATTGGTAGGAGGTGATTGTTGCATCACTTGTACTGTTCCTGTTTTGTTTTACTGTCCACTGTCTATCCTTGAGGGACTCTCCAGTGTTTTGGGTGGAGGTGGTTTGAGTCCATCTCCTGCCTCCTGTAGCTTAAACACACTCAGGAAAGAACAATGTTTATGAATTAATGGATGGATGGATGGATGGATGGATGGATGGATGGATGGATGGATGGATGGATGGATGGATGAATGGATGGATGGATGGACTAGAGAGGAGGCCTAGGATGAAAGATACAGTATATGTGAATAAGAGAATAAATGCAGTGTGTGTGTTTGTGTGCATGTTTGTGTTTGTTTAAGGAGGGTGTTTGTGTTTGAGGATGGTAAGCATGAATATCTAGTGAATGTGTTTTGAAACCTTCCAAGCAATCTGTTGTTAGATTGAGCAGAAATCATCACTAGCCAATCAACACCCACGGAACTGTTCCGAATTAAACTATAACTAACTCACCAACATAACACAAACAGACCGATAGCACATTACATTGAAGATTCTCTGAAGGGGTTGGCACTCATATTGTATGTTACAAAGCTGCTGGTTTATATGACTGAATGAGAAGATGCAGTCTAATTTATTACTCCATGTAGTTGATTAACTCTGGGCCCAAGCCAGGAGGGTGTGTCTCTAGAGACTTCAGCTCTCATTGTGAGAGAGAGAGGGGTAGAGTGAGTAGAAGTAGCCCAAAGGCCAGCAGATGGCAATGTTGAGTCGTTTCATCCTATCGTCATTTTAGCTGGCTATACACTCATATCCTCCTGCACCAGGTTGTACATAAAACATTCTCTGTTCAGGCTGAAAAGGCATGTTGCGTATCTCATTCGGCCAATCAGGTAGCAGCAGTCTGTTTTTTCACCCCTGGTCTGATTGGCTGAATGCCTTACCCAACATCCAGGACTAGCATTAGCCACTGTATGGTGGTTGAAAATTGTGTTTCATAAAGAAGGTATGCATATTTCCCCTGTTTTTCCCCCACCCTTCTCACCATTAAATGACATTAAGGAGGAAATCAATGCCCTTGCAGCCTGAATGGAGAATGTTTTATGTATGAACTGGTCCAGGGAGAATAAGAGTGTAAAGCCGGCTGCATACATGCCCTTTGGACAGTATGATGAAATGACTCAATATCGCCATCTGCCAGTTTTTGGGCTAGGGTAGAAGGGAGCAGAGAGTAGGAGGGAAATTCACAAACCACTAAATCAATAATGTTGCCACATCTTGTGCAATAATGGATTATAGCTTGAATTATTGGCTCAGAAAAAGTATTATGTGTGAAAAGTACATCTAATGTGTAGCTTAGACTACTTAGGCTTACCTGGTTAAATAAAGGTTAAATAAAAAAAATAAAAAAAATATTCCATAGCTACATTTCTCACAGTAAATGTACATAGACCACAGCTCTGCTTTCTGTGGAATTTCGAAAACTCAATAACCACCCCTATACTGTTAAATTCGTTCCATCACACTTTTAGAAAACATCACCCGCCTCTGCAAGACTCACCTATGCAGCTCAGAGTGTTCCAGAAATGGGACGTGGAACCAGGGGCGGTGTGTTCATTAGGGCGATATGGGCGACGCACTGCCAAACGGGAAAAGGAAGGGATTTTTTTTCTAATCAATTATATCACGGCAACAGTAGTTCAGTGTTCTAATCTAGACGTCTGATCTGCCACTAAATGTCCAATCAGGCTAAAGTCGTGCTTCAAATGTCCCCGCCCGTTTTGGGGCGATTTCAGTCAGGTTGAAAATCGCCCAGAAGTCTCTCATAGCCTCTAATGTAAAATATTTTTTTTTTCAAATATCAGAGCTTTCAATACAATCTCTATGGGTTTCTGAGGGCTTGCACTTACGCGCTTTCGTCATACGTAACGTAACATAACCATGAACGTAACTAAGAAACTACTCTTTCACCCTGAAGGCGGCACGGCAGACAGCACCGCTTGGACAGCGACTGGTGTAACCGACATGCACCATCTTTCAGAAAAGATTAAGAAAAATGAGCTGTCAAAGACCCACATGGATAGCTGTTTGAGATTGTCTGCTTTGGGGAGAGTGAATATTGCCACTCAACTGGATGAGGGATACAGGCTAGCTGTCCGCCGCCACAACGATGAGGTTAGCAACAGCAGAGTCGTGAACACTGTCTACGAGAATCGAGACGACCTCATAGAATGTTTTGAAGCCATCCGGACGGGTTCATTGGGTTCATTTGACCAGCCCACGGTGAGAGAGGCATCTGGCTACGTGAGGATACTACATGATGAAGATTTAATTTTTTTCCTGCGGCTTTTTCACAAAATCATGCCCCACGTCGACATTCTGTACCAGAAGCTACAGAAGAAGGACATCGATGCTGTCTTTATCAAACGTGCCCTCGACAGCTTCACAAGCAGTGTGCAGGCCATAAGGTAAGATTAAACAATATCATTCGATCTTTCTCAAAGCAGAGCTTTATTTGAAAATGTATGCATGAAAGGAGACTGCATTTGTGTTTGAAATTACATTATTCTCATTATATATGGCCAGTGGTGTAATCTATCTTATTTTATATACTATGTGTACTGTACAGTGGTGCTCATAAGTGTATGAACACATTCTAAAGTTGACTAAAAAGAGGAATAAAAAAATAAAAAAATCATCTTTTGGAAATTGATCTTAATGACTTAATTAAAAAAGTTGGAAAATCCAACCTTTAAGGACACCAATTTTCTTTTCTTTTTTATTCCTCTTTTTAGTCAACTTTAGCATGGGATCATAAGCTTATGAGCACCACTGTATACTGTGCTGAACATCCAGGCTATGTGAGACACAAAGGCTAACTTAAACACTAAAGACTTTATGCATCCCTGCCCATTTTAAGTGGAACTGAAGTATTTGTACTATACATGGATACATTGCATATACCTGTGCATCACATAGACAACAATACTGTACAAAGCCAACAAACACATTGGTCTGTTTGCCTTCAGGGACTCCTCTCAACAGCAGCTGCAAGAAGCAACAGGAGCCAAAAGACCCAGAACAGCTTTGAGAGAAGAGGAGAAGCAGAGGCTGTCTGAAGAGGTCTGCAACACCATCCTGGATCACACCAAAGAAAGGTTCTCTTTCTCTGGCCACCTTGTGAGTGCTACCTTACTGCAAGCAGACATGTTTGAAAGGTACTGCCATTCAAAAAAATAAAAAATCTGTTCATGTTCATTTTTACAAATCTATACAATTGGCCAGAATATGGTTGTTCATATTTACAAATCTATACAATTGGCCAGAATATGGTTGTTCATTTTTACAAAGCCATACAGATAGCTGTGTTTACCTTTTCTAGAAATTACTTTCAAATTCTGTTTTCAGGCAAAATGTCTATCACTGTTCATTTTCACAAATCTATACAAGAGGGCAGAATATGGAAGTCTATAAAAATTTCTTATTACCAATAACTTGCATCAATGTTTTCAGTAGCCTCTATCAAAAGCTCCTGCTTGCTTGTTGTGAATTATGCTCAGGTGCACATATTTCCAATTCAACCATGAGGCAAAAAATGTGGTAAAAGCTCTTGTTGATCCTGCAATCTGAACAAATACCAAGATGCTGTATTTTCAGCTGATATTTCATTTGTTTATGGAAATGCATATTGTTTATGCAGTGTTGAGGAATGTGAAAGAACACCCTTGATTATTTTTACTGTGATAACTTATTTTGCTTTTGTAAGCCAACACTTTTGAGATCAGTCAATAAATGCTTCTGGTATTGACTTATATGCTGCCCCTGTCTTCATGTTGTTGCTGGACATATCTTTTTAAAAATGTGTGTAGGTCACCTAAATCATCAGAAAAATTGCCCCCCCTGAGAATTTTTTCAGGAGCCGCCACTGCGTGGAACCTAGCAGCAGCTGTCCCCTAAAGCCAAGGAAGACGGCTACACTGCCACACCTGAAATAGCCCACTATAGCCCGCTACTCTCACAAGAGACGCTTGTTTGACCAGCAGCAGTAACAGGAAAACTTAGAGAGAGTGCTTTTTCTCGTGTCCATATCTTGTTGCTTCGCCAGTGACTTGGTTACCCCAGCGCGCGCCGAGTTGCAAGGTGCGCTCATTCTCAACTAGTCACTTTGAAAATCACCTCGTCGCACGGCTGGAACCACTAGGTAACAACACTTTCTAAATACACTTCTCTTTGTCTACTGTTTCGGAATGTTACATTTAGTGCAATAACATATTATTATGGAATATTTGGTAGCCTTTTAGTGCTGGTAGCTTGTACAGATTTCGTATAAGTCAAAACAACAACTGTGACAAATCCAGTTCAGATACAATGATAACTGCACTCATTTGATAGTTTTTTAACATTCCATACCATACAGACTAATAAGGAAAAGGAGAACACTTTAGTCCACCTTGATTAAAAAATACCTGGCTAACTTTCTAAGTGATTTATAGGAGGTTGTAGGAAATGACACAAAAATGATGTTATATCCCAGATATTCTCATTACATTGATCTTTCAGTGGTGGCAGTACATGTCAGGTTAATTCCTACATATGCGTGGTGTATAGTGTTGACATCTGTCTCTGTCTTTGTTGTCTCTGTCTCTGAGTGCTGTTCTTTCCCCATGTCTCTCTCTGAGGCTGAGAGGAATGGGACTGTTCTTTCCCCATGTCTCTCTGAGGCTGAGAGGAATGGGACTGTTCTTTCCCCCATGTCTCTCTGAGGCTGAGAGGAACGGGACTGTTCTTTCCCCATGTCTCTCTCTGAGGCTGAGAGGAATGGGACTGTTCTTTCCCCATGTCTCTCTCTGAGGCTGAGAGGAACGGGACTGTTCTTTCCCCATGTCTCTCTCTGAGGCTGAGAGGAATGGGACTGTTCTTTCCCCATGTCTCTCTGAGGCTGAGAGGAATGGGACTGTTCTTTCCCCATGTCTCTCTCTGAGGCTGAGAGGAATGGGAGATGGTGGTGGGAAGGATGATTGATGAACCAATTATACTGAACAAAAATATAAACGCAACATGCAACAATTTCAAAGATTTTACTGAGTTACAGTTCACATGAGGAAATCAGACAATTGAAATAAATAAATTAGGCCCTAATCTATGGATTTCACATGACTGGGAATACAGATATGCATCTGTTGATCACAGATATCTTTAACAAATGGGCCTCGAAATAGGCCTTAGGATTTCGTCACAGTATTTTTGTGCATTCAAAATGCCATCGATAAAATGCAATTGTGTTCATTGTCCGTAGCTTATGCCGGGCCATACCATAACCCCACCGCCACCATGGGGCCCTCTGTTCATGACGTTGACATCAGCAAACTGCTCGCCATACACATGGTCTGCGGTTGTGAGGCAGGTTGGACGTACTACCAAATTCTCTAAAACGACATTAGAGACAGCTTATGATAGAGAAATTAACATTGAATTATCTGGCAACAGCTCTGGTAAACATTCCTGCAGTCAGCATGCCAATTGCATGCTCCCTCAAAACTTGAGACATCTGTGGCATTGTGTTGTGTGACAAAACTGCACCTTTTAGAGTGGCCTTTTATTGTTCCCAGCACAAAGTGCACCTTTGTAATGATCATATTGTTTAATCAGCTTGGATGGATTATCTTGGCAAATGGGAAATGCTCACTAACAAGGATGTAAACAAATTTGTGCACAACATTTGAGAGAAAAAAGCTTTTTGTGCATATAGAACATTTCTGGAATTTATTTCAGCTCATGAAACATGGGACCAAGACTTTACATGTTGCATTTATATTTTTGTTCAGTATAAATTATTGAATAGAATAGTTGAGAGATGGTTATTAGAATTAAAGAAATATAGCTTCCTGCATTTTGGGTTCAATCACCATAATGTGTAGTGAGATGGAATGGGACAGTATCAAAACAACAACCAGTGTCTCATGCTAGTGTGAGTGGATATCAGATAAAGGCTTGTTGTGTGGGTTATAAACTGAGGTTGTGTGACTGAATACATGGTTCTGTTTCTCCATATGGAGTTGCTCAATTAATAATGCATTCTATATTTACCCTGTGAATAGAGGATTCTGTTGTGCCGAGCGAGGCAGGGAATTCACCATCCAACATTCCAATGCAGGATGTAGATGTTCCCTAGGACGTGTATGTGTGTGTGTGTTCCACAGGATGTGTTTTAGCAACAGCTGGGGGAAGAACAAAACTTTTACAATTTTTCCTTGGTGGGGAATCAAGAACACGAATCAAGGACCATTTGTTGTTCAGCTTCAACATGTCTGTCAGCAATGTTTTAGTAGTAAACTATTGTTCCATTGATAGAGCAAATGAACCTGATTAAAATATGCTTTATTATAACATTATTATAATAACCTAATCGTAATACTGTCATCTATTGATTAAAAGTAACAAAGTTGTGGCTTAAACTTTTGTAATCAATTATCAGAAGTAATTGTTTCTCTGACATCACATCTTCAGGAATCTTTTGATTGACAGTTGGATTAGAGCAACATAAATCTGTTATTTAGATAAGATTATATCAGATAGTAATCTCTGTTAGTGTAATGACAGTGGACAGTGGGACATGCCATTAGTGAGTAGTCATATGGGTCTCAAGGAATTGACCCCTAGCATGTTCCCATTCTGCAGTGAGCCACGTTGAACATTGAACTCTGACCTCAGACCCGTTTCCTGGCAGTGTCCCCATGGGGGGTATAGTATGTGTGTATGTAGCGGTAAGGAGAGGAGGATAGGGGTGAGGGTTAAGAATGAGGTGAGGAGGATAGAGGTGAGGGTTACGGATGGGGTGAGGTGAGGTGAGGCTAGGGGTCAGGACTGGTAATAGAGCGAGATGGAGAAGAGTGGTTGATGACCTCTGCTCCCTGAGGAGTGATGTGCCTAAGTAGGGAAGTACAATGTGTTCCGTGTGGCTCAGTTGGTAGAGCCTGGCATTGGTGGGGGACCAGTATGAAAAAGTATGCACTCACTACTTTAAGTCCCTCTGGATAAGAGTGTCTGCTATATTACTAACATGTAAAATGGTGAGTGAATTTAAGCTTTCTGAAGTGTGTTCTATACTGAAGGCCATTTGTAGGATCCACAGTGGTATGAGAGTGATGTCTGCAGATAAACTAATGTGTGTGTACCTGTTTGAACCCACCACTGTCACCGCGGGGGGAAATATATCCGTTGTGCAATGAGCTTCTGACTGCTATGCTTGTGAGGCTGGATATTTAAGGAACCAGCCCTGCATTCAAACAGATACCCCACCCAGAAATAAATACAGAAATACCCCACCCAGAAATAAATACAGAAATACCTCACCCAGAAATAAATACAGAAATACCCCACCCAGAAATAAATACAGAAATACCTCACCCAGAAATAAATACAGAAATACCTCACCCAGAAATAAATACAGAAATACCTCACTGCCGGTCTCACGGTAATTGACTGTTAATTAACATAAACACATTTAGCATCTCCTGGCTTCCACGCATAGCTTACACTGATGCAGACATTTGGAACATCTAATAAATCCATGTAATATAGCCTACACCATCACAATAAATCCATTATTTATTTTAGACAGGTCTAAAGAAACATGATATGAAGAAAATGTAGTCTAGTTCAGATTAACAGAATAGCATACTCTGAGTGGTTCTTATGTTAGGTCCTGATGTGGCTATGCCAAATGGCTGTGGGCTACACTAGTTAATTTAGCGGACAAGATTTGCTTAGAATTCCGTGGAATTATTTTATATTATTTTATAGTATGACGAATACAATTGAACAAAGCTGAATAAAATAGAAAGGATATTTTCTCCAAACGATTTGAGGCAGTGCGCACATGCGGCTATTCTGTGTTGAGCGGTTAACAAAGAAACAAGTACTCCTATATGCTTAATTTAGAGTTATTTATGTAACTTTGTGATACAAGTGTTGGATATATGTTTTGATTTTTAATACATTCTAAGGCTGCATGATGCGACTCTAATGATGATTTGAAAAAAGTTGCATGAAAGGCCTGAGCTCTGCTTTGTTTTTTTGCGCAGGCTGTACACATTTCATCAGTCTCTCATTCAGAATTTGACAAGCACTTGATAATGCCTCGAATTTCCCGGCTGCATCCCCTTTGTGTGGCCGTAATGCCCCCTAAAAAAAAACATGCCTTTTGTGGCCAGCAGCTGCTGTGCCCTTGGGCTGAATATAATAATTATAATTCCCTTCTCCCAGCTGCGTGCCAAAGCACCTCTCACTCACATGGCTCACTGTCACGTGATCGGGTCTTTCTCACAGGCTACAAGTGAAGCAGACACAACTGTGCGAATCCTTATCCAATTCTGAGGCACATATTGAAGATATTGGAAGAACTGTCCACATTTACTTTTCATCAGCCAACAAGATGAGTAGGCCTAACAAACAGCAAAAGCACTAGCCTATGTCAATCTACTATCCCCCATAGTACAAAAGTCGACCTATTCTATTCTGTGCGAGAAATATTCCAAACACAGTCTGGGACAGTTGTGGGATGCGATAGATCCCAAATTAATACAACCACAAGCATAAAAAAACCTGTTTTAAGCATTGAGCCTGATGCAACAGATGAGAACTTTTAGCTTAAAATGTTGATAAACTATTAGGCTATTTCTTCACATTATAAGCGCAGCAATGGGCAGTAGGGTATAAGCGCGAATGTTCCATTAGCAGGAAAACACCATTCTCAAAAGTGACCACAAATATGATTATGCATGTAATGCATTTATTATAAAGGTGCATTTTTGTGGTGAAAATTATCTTCCCCAAACTTGAAACTCAAGCGCTGCGTATGTATGCCAGTTAGGCTCTACACCCGTTGTAAAGTGGATTAATGTGCTTCATTTTAAGAAGCTATTTGGCCACTTTAGTTGTGAAACAAACCTTATCAAAACATATCGGCCTATGGGCTAGGCTACATGAGGTGTGCGACTATGATTTGAAAAAGTTGCAAAAATAAGCATGTGCTGTTTCTTCCCTTAAACTGGGCATCATTCACCAGTGATAATATATAATTTACTAGTGATAGGCTAATATTGTCACCCATCACATGATTCTTGATTTAATCTTGTGTTTACATATACTAAATAATATATGTGTGAAATTTGTGTTGATTTAGAATGGACCATTATCATGCACTTGTCTCGAAATAGGGGCAGCTGAAAAAAATACATGTAATCTATGCATTTAAATAGCTAATGGAGGACACTTTTCCCATGGTTCCTTTTCATGCCAGACAGTTAGGCTATACTCCTGTTGTAAAGAGAAGCAATGTGCTTAATATTAGGAAAGTTGAGAAATAAATATAGTAGGCCTAGCCTATAGAAAGCTGATGGGATCCTCCTATTTTTAATAGAGGCCATCACTCAGTTTTTTCACGCAATTGCGTATCCAATAAAAATGTTGTGCAACATCAGCTCATGATGGGCTCTTATGAAGTGTTTGATTAGATTTTTGATAATTGATGTCAGAGTGATTAGAGGGACAATAGAGTGCAGAGTACCAGGCAGTTAGCAAGTTTGGTAGGCTACTAATGACCATCATCAGCATCAGAGCTTGGAGAAGCCTAATTACCATGACTAAACGGTCACGTTGAATTCGACTGCCTTCATGACTCGTGACCGCCTTCATGACTCGTGACCGCCGGTGTGGCAGGAATACAGTCATGGTAACAGCCCTACTCTGACATACACTGAGAATAGAAAGATTCATCCTTTCACCTGGATTCACCTGCCCAGTCTGTGTCATGGAAAGAGCATGTTTTGTACACTCAGTGTATATCCCTGTGCTGATCATGGGACAGACAGTGAAAGAGGTCATATGTTGTCCTGTGCTTATGCTTAGTGTTGAAAACCAATTGATACCAAAAAGTTGTTGTTGTGTCCAGGCCCGTGCCAGCCCAATCCATGCCACAATGGGGGTGTGTGTGAGACCACTGATGCCCAACGAGGTGATGTCTTCCTGGGGTATCACTGTGACTGCTCTCCTGGCTACTCTGGAGGCCACTGCCAACACAGTAAGTACACACACACACACACACACACATCACCCAAACACACACACACACACACACACACACACACACACACACACACACACACACACACACACACACACACACACACACACACACACACACACACACACACACACACACACACACACACACACACACACACACACACACACACACACACACACACACACACACTAACCCGGGGGTCAGTTTGTCTAGCGGCTGAGGCCTAATATGCCCCCCCAGGCTGGTGGGAGTGGCCTAATCTGGCCATTCTTAATGAGGTCACTCAGTGGGGGTCACTCTAATGATGTAGTACACATGTCCTCACGCTTTCATGGGTACAATGAGTTATGACAGCTCACACGCTGTGTCAACACACCATAAATAGAAATAGCTGTATGGAATAATGACAGTCCCATAAATGTATGTAACAGTTTTTCCTGGTTGGTGTTTGTGTTCCAGATGTGAATGAGTGTGAGAGCGGGCTGTGCAGGAACGGAGGTGTGTGTACAGACCTGGAGGCCAACAACTCATGTGTGTGTCCTGTAGAATATGCAGGAAGAAACTGCCAGCACAGTGAATGTGAACTTGTATAATGTTTTATGTGAGTCATCACAGGATAAATATTATAAGACTGGTCTTGAGGTTCAATGCTTACATGGACACATTATCAAATTAGGTATCTTGCTGTTTTCCATTTGAGTGTGCCTCTGTGTGTGTGTGTGTTAGCTATTTAAGCCCTCTGTGCTGTCCTGGTGTCGCGTCACTAACAATGTTGTCACGTCCTGGTACTAGGGCCTCTCTGCTCTCCATCAGAGCCAGCCAGAGGAGCCTGTTTTGTGGGGGAGAATGAACGAGACGGACCCCTTGGACCCCCATCCTCCACAGGGACCAAGGACACACACAGACCCCAGCACCACTCCCCTACTATACACTCTCCTCCAGGACCAGATGTCTCTCCACTCACTCTCCTCCAGGACCAGATGTCTCTCTACTCACTCTCCTCCAGGACCAGATGTCTCTCCACTCACTCTCCTCCAGGACCAGATGTCTCTCCACTCACTCTCCTCCAGGACCAGATGTCTCTCCACTCACTCTCCTCCAGGACCAGATGTCTCTCCACTCACACTCCTCCAGGACCAGATGTCTCTCCTCTCCACTCACTCTCCTCCAGGACCAGATGTCTCTCCACTCACTCTCCTCCAGGACCAGATGTCTCTCCACTCACTCTCCTCCAGGACCAGATGTCTCTCCACTCACTCTCCTCCAGGACCAGATGTCTCTCCACTCACTCTCCTCCAGGACCAGATGTCTCTCCACTCACTCTCCTCCAGGACCAGATGTCTCTCCACTCACTCTCCTCCAGGACCAGATGTCTCTCCACTCACTCTCCTCCAGGACCAGATGTCTCTCCACTCACACTCCTCCAGGACCAGATGTCTCTCCACTCACACTGCTCCAGGACCAGATGTCTCTCCACTCACACTGCTCCAGGACCAGATGTCTCTCCACTCACACTGCTCCAGGACCAGATGTCTCTCCACTCACACTCCTCCAGGACCAGATGTCTCTCCACTGACACTCACACAGGAGCTGTGAAGAAAGAGAGGAGAGCTGGTAGGATGTGGAGGATGTTTTTGTCATTTTGAAGCTGAAGTCTCAGCCAGTGAGAGTGAAGATGTTGGACTGATGAATGGAAGTATGGAGGAAGAAAGAGAAGAACAAAAGGATGGACTGACTAATAGAAGTAAAGAATAAAAAATACATGATGTAGAGCTCAACAGAGAAGATTACTCAGTTTTAACAGTAGAGACGCTGACTGGCGTCAGTAGAAATGTTGCTCCCCATCAGAGCCAGCCAGAGGAGCCTGTTTGTGGGGGAGAATGAACCAGAACAGAGAAGATGACTGAGTTTTAACAGTAGAGACGCTATCTGGTGGATCTCAGAGTGAGACAGTTAATGACTGCATATGAGATACCTATCTCCATGATGGGACAGACCTGGAACATTGGGTTCATCTGGACCTGGGAACTATCCAGTGCAGGACTGATGTTGTCCTTCAGAGCAAGGAACACTGGCCAACACCTTCCCTCCACCAATCGAAGCGCAGTACATACGTGTTTACCCACAAGTCTGCAGGGGCCACTGTACTCTGCGCATATAGCTTATAGACTGTGAGCTCACAGGTCAGTGACATCATCACCTGAAGACACCTTTTTACATATGCTTCATCAGACCATGGTCAAATGTTAAACCTTCCAAAACAGGAATACATTGTAATAAGATAAGTATGTCATGACTGTGTTGTGACACAAAAGTTCAGTTCTCTCTCTTTCTCTCCTCTCTCCTCTCTCTTTCTTTTTCTCTCTCTCTCTCTTTCTCTCCTCTCTCCTCTCTCTTTCTTTTTCTCTCTCTCTCTCTCTCTCTCTCTCTCTCTCTCTCTCTCTCTCTCTCTCTCTCTCTCTCTCTCTCTCTCCTCTCTCTCCCTCCTCCTCTCTCTGTCCTTTCTCTCTCTCTCTCCCTCTCTCATGTAGACCTATTGGTTCCCACTAAAGTAACAGGTATAGTGACTCAGGGAGCTAAGGACTTTGGCCGTGTCCAGTTTGTACTCTCCTATAAACTGGCCTACATCAATGATGGACTGAGGTGGACTATGTACCCAGAGGAAGCACACCACAAGGACAAGGTATAAACACATGATCATATGGATTGATTGATTGATTGGTTGGTTGGTTGATTAAGACACAGAAACAGAAAAGAGATCTCAGATATGAAAGAGAGACAGAGCTCCATTTATACCTGGTTCTAACGTGCGTCCTTTGTCCTGATCATATATTATAATAATAATAATATATGCCTTTTTTTCAAAATGACTTATAGTCATACATATGGATGGCCCCAGCAGGAATCAAACCCACAACCCTTGGTCGTGGAAGCACTATGCTCTATTGACTGAGCCACACACATTCTTGGAAGGATATAGACGAGTAAAAGACACATTACGATCTGATTGTGATAACAATAATAATATGCCATTTAGCAGACGCTTTTATCCAAAGCGACTTACAGTCATGTGCGCATACATTTTTACGTATGGGTGGTCCCGGGGATCGAACCCACTACCCTTGCGTTACAAGCGCCATGCTCTACCAATTGAGCTACAGAGGACCACTACCACCACCTCCGGAGGTAGTCAGACACGCGTTGTGTCTGGATATCTTACAAGTGTAGACAGATCTGGAAAGTTTAAACTATTTAAATCATAATTATCCCGCCTTTTAAAATCATTGTCAGGTGGCACCATTGACTTATGACATCAATATGTGTCTTAAAATAAAATCTGTCAAATAAATTACATACAGGGAAGGACTTGGAAATCTGGTCACAATGCGGACACAGTGGACGGATATGAGACACATTTTAATACCATGTGTAGACGCATATCAGAAAATGTGGTACAATCAGAATGTGGATAAGATCAGGATAAACAACGCATGTTAGCACCAGGTATAAACTAGGCTTTGGTGGCAGTGTGTATGACTGTATCTGTGGTTGTCTTGGTGACAGGTGTAACATTGACAACAACACCCACAGGAAGAACTTAATCCAGCCGCCCCATATATGGTCTCTTCCTCCGCCTCATCCCCTGGTTCTGGTACAGACGTATCACACTCAGGATGGAGCTACTGGGCTGCACAGAGGACGACTGACCACCTCTCTCTCTCTCCCCCTCTCACACTCTGGAAGTGGAGGTGTGGACACTGGTCATTAGAGACACTGGAAACTATATTTGGACGTAAAGGTCACAATAAGTGATTTAGATATTATTGGTTTACAGTGTGTTATTTATTTATTGGATTGTAAAGTACTGTACTTCTGCTCTTTAATGTTTTCCTTTATCGTGCTCCTGTGTGATACCATTTCCAACAGTTGTAAAGTAGTGTAGTGCCTAAATATTACAGGGTTAACTTTTCCATGACCAACCTTCGACTATTCCCTCCCTGACTACTAAGGGCCACAGTTTCTGATGGAAAAACAGCCTTCTCAAAGCTCCACTAAATAACCATAACGTTTGAAAGTGGACATCTTACATTAATCGTAAATGAAAAGTTACAACATTATTCACGTTATAATGTGAGTATCAAGGTATTTCTTTATGACAGAAAATGTAATCCAAATTGTGCTTACCACTGTACAACATAAACACTGGTATATTTATTGATACTGATTTAATACAATATTGATTGTAGTAACATATACTGTATCTGATACAAATTAACAAACCACTTTCTATATAGTAAAACAAGCAACATAATACATGTATTTCTCTCTGTGTCTGTTTGGGTATCAAATCAAAAGTGGTTGGAATCAGGTGTTGAATGGATTGCTGCTGCTCTTATACTCCTCATGGTTCCTCCTGCTCCTCTGGTGGTGTAGCAGAGCCATCTGCTGGTCAGAGAAGGTTACTGCATGTCTCTTTAAATCCTCGCCAGTTAGTCATTTGGACATCTCCATTCAGACTGATGCTCCATCACTTCCTCTGGTCTTCTGAAACTGCTGTCCTAGAGTATTAGTAGTAGTATTAGTAGTAGTAGTGTGTGTGTGTTGCATGCATGCAAGTGTGTATTTGTGTGCCAGGTAAAGAGAGAGGCCAGCTGTTAGACCAGGTCACTGTTGATAGCTCAGCTCTGTACTGTAGAGAATCATCCAAGACAAAAAAATCTCCAAACACTGATGGCTTATAAAGTTGTATTTCTTTATTTCAACGATATCAGTCTCAGGTGGTGTGAGAGTTCCATTGGGATAGATTCCCACCATTAATATGAGACAACACCGTGGTAACTGGAAGCTACATCCAAATCACTGATTACTAGCCACTGGGTAATGGGTTCAACTAACATACCATAATAAACACATGTATTACTCATCAATCCTTCACTGTGATCTCTGAACCCTGAACCAAATCTTGCGTGAGCATCGCGTTGCCTGTCTGTCCACGAACGAGTACTGTAGAGATATGTTTAAGGTTTCAACATGGAACATAACATCATAACAACAGTATGCTGATGAACTTTGATTGGTGAAGGTCAGCAAATAGAAAAAAACTGTGTGACTGTGGTAAAATAATAACACTCCTACGTTGCTCTCACAGTGTAGGATAATACAGTGTGATTCTCTCTAACTGGTCTCCTCTCTAACCCCTCCATAAAAATGTTGTCTCATCCAACAACTGAACAATAATCTAATGCATTACTCATCAATTCACTGTAGACATACACTGTGTACAAAACATTAGGAACACCTGCTCTTTCCATGACATAGACTGACCAGGTGAATCCAGGTGAAAGCTATGATCCCTTATTGATGTCACCTGTTAAATCCACTTCAATCAGTGTAGATGAAGGGGAGGAGAAAGGTTAAAGAAGGATGTGTGCCATTCAGAGGGTGAATGGGCAAGACAAAATATTTAAGTGCCTTTGGACGTTGTATGGTAATAGGTGCAAGGCGCACTGGTTTGTGTAAAGAACTGCAACGCCGCTGGGTTTTCCATGCTCAACTGTTTCCTGTGTGGATCAAGAATGGTCCACCACCCAAAGGACATCCAGCGAACTTGACACAACTTTGGGAAGCATTGGAGTAAACATGAGCCAGCATCCCTATGGAACGCTTTGACACTGTGTAGAGTCCATGGCACAACGAATTGAGGCTGTTCTGAGGTGCTCTTAAAATTTTGTTCACTCAATTTTGAAGTTTCAACACAAAACATATAATTTGATTGTGCAATTTGATTGATTAAGAACAGGAACTGATGTGTGGTAAATACAGTATGGTTCTCTCTGTTCAATAGTAGACCTCCTACAACATTGAGTAAAAGTCTCACTCAGATCTTTAGAGTTCTCAGTCTCTGACTCCTCCCAACGACCCCCTGATCCCCCTCAACCCTCTCCATTCTAAAAGCCTGCAGTGCACATTCAATCATCTACGTTGGTTTGGAATTCTGGCCTACGTCTCATCAAGATCTTTACAGACCTCCCTCCCCTCATTCTCTAGACAAAGTAGACAGGACAATAAATTATTCTGGCCTGTTTTCCCCATGTTCACTATGACACTCACCACGGCACAGTGGACAGTAGAGCTGATCTGGTTCTACACATGGACTGTGATGGTGAATCATATCAGATTGTGGAGAAGCCAACTTGATGAGTTTCTCCTGACCCAGCTCAACACTCCTATCAGTGCCCTCTGACCTCTCCCCTCTCGTACCAGTCTCTTCTGCAACACTGAGTGAGCTTTACTGACCTCTTTCAAGTTCTGTCTCAGTCTCTCCATTTCTCCATCCTTCTCCTTCATCTGTCTATTCTTCTCCTCCATCTGTCTGCTGAACTCCCTCTGCATCTTTGTCTGTGAGATCATGATGTTCCTCTGTAACTCAGGTAGGACTATCTTCATCAGGTTTCTCTCTGCTTCAACTCTGACCTCTCCTTCATAGTTCTCCATCATCTCCTCTATCTCCAGTCTGTGTCTCTCCTCCATCTCTCTCCTCTCATTCTCTCTCTTCTCTCTAAATCTCTCCAGCTTTCTCTCCATCCCCTCCCTCCTATCAAACTCTTTCTTCAGCTCTCTCTCCAGCTCCCTTTTCTTCTCCTCATCCCTCTCTTCTTTCACCTGTCTCTCCAGTTCAGTGGTTCTTTCACTGAGTGTTCTGATATCTCCTTCATGTTCCTGGATCACTCCCTCTATCTTCTTCAGCGAGTCCTGCAACTCCTTCTGAAACCTATCTCTCACCTCTCTCTCCTCCCTCTGTTTCCTCTCCTCTTTCTCCCTCTGGATCTTTCCCTCCATCTCTCTGACCTGGTCTTCTGACTCCTGGTAGGTCTGACTGCTGTAGAATCTCTCTCTGTTTCCTGCCACCATCTCCTCTACCTGCTCCAGCAGCTCTGGGACCTGAGTGCCATGGGCCCTGTCCTTAATGTTGAGGACGTGGTACCTGCTCCCACATTTCTCTACAAGCTGCTGGAGGTCCTGACTCCCTGCTTGGAGAAACTCCTCAATGCTCTGCTCTTTCAGGCCATCAGCATGGGTGAATAGAATCACAGTGTGTCCCCAACAACCCTCCCCAAACATCTCCTCTATTCTCTCCAGCACCCCTCTCTCCTCCCCCCTGGAGGGCTCCACTGGTATGACCAGGAGGAAGGCGTGGGGTCCTGGGGCAGACAGACGGACACAGAGCCCCACATCCTGTCTCATCTCATCCAGAGAGAGTCCAGGACAGAACCAGTCTGGAGTGTCCACCAGCACCAACCGTCTCCCAGACACGTCCCCCTCTCTCCTCTTACTCCTCTGGGTCACTGCAGAGGGGCTGGCCTGGGCCCCAAACTCCTCTCTGCCAAGGATGGTGTTTCCTGCTGCACTCCTCCCAGCCCCAGTCCTCCCCAGCAGCACCAGTCTCAGCTCAGACACACTGGGAGACACTGGGGAGTCTGGACTGCTGCTCTCTCCTCCCACTGCAACACAACACAACACACAGCACTGTTCAACACACTGACTCTCTGGATAATGTACAACACAGTGTCAAATATAATGTAAGCTACATCCATAACTCACTTTCAGGAGGATTTAACTCCATGCTGTTTCTCCTCCTCAGTGGAAGTGTGGGGTCTGTACCGGAGGTCTCTCCTCCCACTGTAACACAACATAGAGAACTGGTCAACATACTGTTTCATCAGTGACACATTTAAAAACATAGTATACACAAACAACAAATACATTACACATCATAGTGAAATATAGATTATTGGAGAAAATAGAGAATATCAAGATTGATGACAGTTTGAGGCAACATTGATAACTCACTAAGTGAAGGATGGTCCACTATAGACTAGAAACAGTAGGAGAAAGCAGGACAATATTGATAACTCACTGAGTGGAGGATAATCCATGCTGTGTCTCCTCCTGACTGGGAGTATGGAACCTGTATCTGAGGTGTCTCCATGTTCTAAAACAACAAATAACATCCATTTATAATGGGAACATTTACCTCAGTAACACATGAAGGCACATAGACCTACTTAAGGGTAGTTCTGGGTTTCTCGTGAAATGTTAATGTTAAGTATCACATATCTCACTCACCAGTCATCTGGGCTGAGGTCTCTCTTCTCAGTCTCTCTAGCTCAGTCTTCACATCACATATCTGTTGAGCTGAAATAACAAAGGAAGACTAACATCTGAATTCTATGTTAAAGACTTTAGACAGAAATATGATGCAGAGGGAAAGTATGAAGTGATGTAAAACAATATTCCCAACTCAGAGGAGAGTCTACAATAACCTGAGAATTGAGGAAAGTACTGTAGACTAAATGTATTAATGGTTGTAATAATCTTACCCAGTTCCGCATTTTCATTGTTGACATCCTCCACTTGTTTGTCTCGTTCCTTTAACTGCTTCTCTCTCTCCTCTAGTAGTTTATCTTTCTCTTCTAGTTCCTGCCTCCTCTCTTTTAGTTCATTATATTTTTCCTCCAGTAGTTTGTCCCTCTCTTCCAGTAGTATGTCTTTCTCTCCCAGTTTGTGGTTCCTGTCCTCTAGTTGAAGGTCTTTTTCCTGCAGTAGGACTCTGAAGTTCTCTACTTGGCTGTTCTTGTCCTGCAGGTTCTTTCTCAGTGTCTCTAGTTGAATGTCTCTATCCTTTAGTTGCTTCTCTTTCTGTTCCAGTTGGTTTTCTTTCTCTTCTAATAGTTTATTCCTCTGTCCCATTGTCTGGTTCTTCTCCTCCAGTAGTCTCTCTTTCTCTCTCACTTCCTGGGTCATATCATCCAGTCTATAGTTTCTCTCCTCTAGTTGATGGTCTTTTTCCTTTATTTTCTTGTCTTTGTCTCCTAGTTCAACCTTCTTCTCCTTTATTTCATTATCTTTTCCCTCCAGTAGTCTCTCTTTCTCTCTCACTTCCTGGGTCATATCATCCAGTTGTTTGTCTTTCTCCTCTAGTTGTTTCATCATCTCATCTCTTAATATCTCTTTTAATTCTTTTTCCATCTTCAACTCTGAGACAAAGCAATTAACATATTTAATTGGTTGTTTGATTAAGCAATTAATTCATTAATTCAATAGTATGCCTATAACGACACATTATAATTTGATGGAGGTGGTACAATAATTGTTTTCTACAGTCAACAGTTATCTGAGCTGAACCAACAATCAACTGATCTATTGACTATTTGATACATTACCAAATGAATTAGTCTGAAAAAAGGAATAACATCACTAATGTTCCCTGAACCAATCCTCTCTCCTCCAGACTCTCTCACACTTACCAAGCTCAACAGCTGATGCCTCCCTCTTCAACTTGTTCTCCTGGGTCTCATGTTGTAAATAGTCTGAACCTGAGACTATGGTGTAAAAAAGAGAGGTGAGATCTGTCTGGTAGACTACATCACTATATACAGAACAAACAGGACCAATCAGATGTTTCCTGTCTCTCAAGCCTCCCTCATGTAGGGGCTGTGGGCGCCAATAAGATCTGGTTAACTTAATTAATAATATTTTTTTAGTTATTGGCCTATCCTGATCAAATTATTATTTTCATGTTAAGTGATAACCAGCACTGGGCTCTATGGCAGAAACACTATATTGTGTCAGGATCAGGGTTCTATGGAATATAAACTCAGCAAAAAAAGAAACGTCCTCTCACTGTCAACTGCGTTTATTTTCAGCAAACTTAACATGTGTAAATATTTGTATGAACATAACAAGATTCAACAACTGAGACATAACCTGAACAAGTTCCACAGACATGTGACTAACAGAAATGGAATAATGTGTCCCTGAACAAAGGAGGGGTCAAAATCAAAAGTAACAGTCAGTATCTGGTGTGGCCACCAGCTGCATTAAGTACTGCAGTGCATCTCCTCTTCATGGACTGCACCAGATTTTCCAGTTCTTGCTGTGAGATGTTACCCCACTCTTCCACCAAGGCACCTGCAAGTTCCCGGACATTTCTGGGGGGAATGGCCCTATCCCTCACCCTCCGATCCAACAGGTTCCAGATGTGCTAAATGGGATTGAGATCCGGGCTCTTCGCTGACCATGGCAGAACACTGACATTCCTGTCTTGCAGGAAATCACGCACAGAACGAGTAGTATGGCTGGTGGTATTGTCATGCTGGAGGGTCATGACAGGATGAGCCTGCAGGAAGGGTACCACATGAGGGAGGATGATGTCTTCCCTGTAACGCACAGCGTTGAGATTGCCTGCAATGACAACAAGCTCAGTCCGATGATGCTGTGACACACCGCCCCAGACCATGACGGACCCTCCACCTCCAAATCGATCCCGCTCCAGAGTACAGGCCTCGGAGTAACGCTCATTCCTTCGACGATAAACGCAAATCCAACCATCACCCCTGGTGAGACAAAACCGCGACTCGTCAGTGAACAGCACTTTTTGCCAGTCCTGTCTGGGCCAGTGACAGTGGGTTTATGCCCATAGGCGACGACGTTGTTACCAATGATGTCTGGTGAGGTCCTGCCTTACAACAGGCCTACAATTCCTCAGTCCAGCCTCTCTCAGCCTGTTGCTGACAGTCTGAGCACTGATGGAGGGATTGTGCGTTCCTGGTGTAACTCGGGCAGTTGTTGTTGCCAACCTGTACCTGTCCCGCAGGTGTGATGTTCGGATGTACCGATCCTGTGCAGGTGTTGTTACACGTGGTCTGCCACTGCGACGACGATCAGCTGTCCGTCCTGTCTCACTGTAGCGCTGTCTTAGGTGTCTCACAGTACAGACATTGCAATTTATTGCCCTGGCCACATCTGCAGTCCTAATGCCTCCTTGCAGCATGCCTAAGGCACGTTCACGCAGATGAGCAGGGACCCTGGGCATCTTTGTTTTGGTGTTTTTCAGAGTCAGTAGAAAGGCCTCTTTAGTGTCCTAAGTTTTCATAACTGTGACCTTAATTGCCTACCGTCTGTAAGCTGTTAGTGTCTTAACGACCGTTCCACAGGTGCATGTTCATTAATTGTTTATGGTTAATTGAACAAGCATGGGAAACAGTGTTTAAACTCTTTACAATGAAAATCTGTGAAGTTATTTGGATTTTTACGAATTATCTTTGAAAGACAGGGTCCTGAAAAAGGGCTGTTTCTTTTTTTGCTGAGTTTACATTCAGTATAATTTCAAGAACATCTATACATCATAATCCAACCTACCTTGAGAACATTTGGGGAGAGTAATGATAAATCTAAAGAAACTGATTGAATTTGTAGCCTTGAAGACACACTGCTGTTCACAAGGCCTGTACTTATTCATAGTATCAGATTAACACTCTGGTCTTTTCTTTGTCTTGTGTTATAGGTTGTCAATAAACAAAACAGACAAATAAGTAATTACTCACGGTCTTCAGATCATCCATTATCCAAGATGGAGAGTCATGAATAATGATCATGTAAAACAAAATGCATTAGTTATAATTGTTCATAGAATTTCTGTCTCATTACATCATTTAATGAAATACCATACATCATATTGGAATGACTGTTCATCACATTCATTACAAATGTACATCTAGGGAAAGGGATGTAATCAGTGCTACTATGTGAGCAGCCTTAGAATGTCTGAATGCTTCATATTAGGACATCAAACTGAATTCAAGCTGATTCCGTGTTAATTTTGGAGTGTGAAATGTTGAGATCTATGACAGATATATTGTGGGAGGGCTATGTGAAATGTTGAACTATATGGCAGATATATTGTGGGAGGGCTATGTGAAATGTTGAACTATATGGCATATATATTGTTGGAGGGCTATGTGAAATGTTGAGCTATATGGCATATATATTGTTGGAGGGCTATGGTATTGCTCCTGATCAGCCATTTTCCAAGATGGAGAGTAATGAATAATGATAATGTATAACAAAATGTATGAGTTATTACAGTTACATTCAATCCAATTTCTGTCACATTACATTATTCCATCAAATACCATATATCGTATTGCAATGACTGTTCATCACATTCATTACTAATGTACATCTAGGGAAAGGGATGTAATCAGTGCTACTATGTGAGCAGTCTGATAATGACTGAATGCTTCATACTAGGACATTAAGCTGAATTCAAGCTGATTCCATTTTCATTTTGGTGTGTGAATTGTTGAGCTCTATGGCAGATACAGTTGAAGTCGGAAGTTTACATACACCTTAGCCAAATACATTTAAACTCAGTTTTTCACAATTCCTGACATTTAATGCTAGTAAAAACTCCCTGTCTTAGGTCAGTTAGGATCACCACTTTATTTTAAGAATGTGAAATGTCAGAATAATAGCAGAGATAATTATTTATTTCAGCTTTTATTTCTTTCATCACATTCCCAGTGGGTCAGAAGTTTACATACACTCAATTAGTATTTGGTAGCATTGCCTTTAAATTGTTTAACTTGGGTCAAACGTTTCGGGTAGCCTTCCACAAGCTTCCCACAATAAGTTGGGTGAATTTTGGCCCATTCCTCCTGACAGAGCTGGTGTAACTGAGTCAGGTTTGTAGGCCTCCTTGCTCGCACACGCCTTTTCAGTTCTGCCCACAAATGTTCTATAGGATTGCGGTCAGGGCTTTGTGATGGCCACTCCAATACCTTGAATTTGTTGTCCTTAAGCCATTTTGCCACAACTTTGGAAGTATGCTTGGGGTCATTGTCCATTTGGAAGACCCATTTGCGACCAAGCTTTAACTTCCTGACTGATGCCTTGAGATATTGCTTCAATATATCCACATAATTTTCCTTCTTCATGATGCCATCTATTTTGTGAAGTGCACCAGTCCCTCCTGCAGCAAAGCACCCCCACAGCATGATGCTGCCACTCCCGTGCTTTATGGTTGGGATGGTTTTCTTCGGCTTGCAAGCAACCCCCTTTTTTTCCCAAACATAACAATGGACATTATGGCCAAACAGTTCTATTTTTGTTTCATCAGACCAGAGGACATTTCTCCAAAAAGTACGATATTTGTCCCCATGTGCAGTTGCAAACCAAAGTCTGGCTTTTTTATGGCGGTTTTGGAGCAGTGGCTTCTTCCTTGCTGAGCGGCCTTTCAGGTTATGTCGATATAGTACTCGTTTTACTGTGGATATAGATACTTTTGTACTTGTTTCCTCCAGCATCTTCACAAGGTCCTTTAATGTTGTTCTGGGATTGATTTGCACTTTTCGCACCAAAGTACGTTAATCTCTAGGAGACAGAACGCGTCTCCTTCCTGAGCGGTATGACGCCTGCGTGATTCCATGGTGTTTATACTTGCGTACTATTGTTTGTACAGATGAACGTGGTACCTTCAGGCATTTGGAAATTGCTCCCAAGGATGAACCAGACTTGTGGAGGTCTAGACATTGTTTTCTGAGGTCTTGGCTGATTTCTTTTGATTTTACCATGATGTCAAGCAAAGAGGCACTGAGTTTGAAGGTAGGCCTTGAAATACATCCACAGGTACACCTCCAGTTGACTCAAATGATGTCAATTTGCCTATCAGAAGCTTCTAAAGCCATGACATCATTTTCTGGAATTTTCCAAGCTGCTTAAAGGCACAGTCAACTTAGTGTATGTAAACTTCTGACCCACTGGAATTGTGATACAGTGAATTATAAGTGAAATAATCTGTCTGTAAACAATTGTTGGAAAAATTACTGGTGTCATGCACAAAGTAGATGTCCTAACCGACTTGCCAAAACTATAGTTTGTTAACAAGAAATTTGTGGAGTGGTCGAAAGACGACTTTTAATGACTCCAACCTAAGTGAATGTAAACTTCCGACTTCAACTGTATATTGTGGGAGGGCTATGTGAAATGTTGAGATCTATGGTAGATATATTGTGGGAGGGCTATGTGAAATGTTGAGCTATATGGCATATATATTGTTGGAGGGCTATGGTATTGCTCCTGATCATCCATTATCCAAGATGGAGAGTGATGAATAATGATCATGTAAAACAGAATGCATGAGTTAATATTGTTCATTGAATTTCTGTCTCATTACATAACTTCATGAA